TACTAGTACTTTGTAATTGGATCTTCCATTTTAAGTATATATGGAGAAAATATTGGTGTAGGTATATTTTCATTTGAATGTTCTTTTCCACCTTCTTTTAATGCTTCAGTGATTTGTTCATTATAGAGGCTATCGGCTGGGAGTTATAGATTTTGCAACTTATTTTTTTACCTCCCATAATAGAAAAATATTTTTTAGTCTCCTTATCAATTTTTAAAAGAACTTATCTCAGCTTTAACATATTGAGGCATATGGTCTTTTGGTGGGGTGATCTCTGTTAACCCTCTCTCAACTCTGTCTTTGAAGAATATAGGGTTAATTTATAGGTCATTTTAGAGGTTAGGATTATTTTTTTCAAAAATGGAAATAGTTGTGCGCTTTTAAAAAATTATCATTGGCACAATTCATGCTCATTGCAAAAATTGAGAAATTAGAAAAAATGTCGAGAAGAAAATAAAAATCTCTCTTAATTATAACACAAAGGGGGTTGCATTGTGATGTTAAGATTTTTATGAATTCAGTGTTTTATTGGAGTCAAAGCCTCACTGGTACTAGCTCTCAGATGTAGACACTGTTTTCTGCCATAATTGCTCACTTTTAAGGAGCCCTATTTTTGATGCTGTGCCACTTCCTCTACAGTTTGATACCATTTTCTCCCACTTTATGATTGAACAGAGGACTGCTGTACACGGAGAATATCAGAGAGCAGATGAAAACTACATTTCAGATTTTGCAACACTGAAGTAAATTACAAGTTCAAAGGCACCTAAGACATGTGAATTACAAGGCTTCAGAGACACTCCAGGTTATATCTAGAACTGGCTGCAGCTCTCAGGGACTCTACAGGTGGCAAGTTTCTCTTGGCACCTTGGATAATTTGGAACAATTTTAGTTGAACTCTGTGACTTTTACTTGGTCATATTTTTAAAATATTAATTTTGTACTGAACCTTTTGTTAATTTGGTATACTTGTGCCCTCATCTGCTCATTAATATTTAGGTGACCTTTATTAATATATAGAAAAGTAAATAATGGAAAATAAAGAATACATTACACTTAAATTTCACTGAGTCTGGGCTTTTCCCATGAAGTTAATATTAACTTATATGAATGAATTTTCCATTTTTGACATTGAACTAGATTCCATATGTATAAAATGGAGGGAAAGCAGAAAATATTCCATTGAGAATTTCTAGCTTAATATATATATGAATGAATTTGGCAAGTATAGATCAACAATATTTTTCTTAATGGGAATATCACTGAATAAGCAATGGATAGGATTTCTTATAGGAAATTACACTCCATTCAAAAATATTCAAGCATGGATATCTTAGACACAGCAAGCTGTCATTATATCTCTCTGGTAACAGATCAGTAACCCAATATGGCCTCTTTTATAATAGAAACTTTGGCAAGACCCAGAGAAATGATTCTGTGTCATGTCAAGTGTTCTTGTGTGGTATAAACAACAAGAATAGTTTGTAAGAGTTGATATATTTTTAAATATTTTATTTTTAAAGTGCAAGAATTTTGCTTCAAATATCATAATCTTGGCAAGCAAAATCATTTTTGGTATTGAAAATAGAATATGAATTTCTGAAAGAGAAATATACTAATTATAATGATTTTAATTCACTATAAACTTAGACTAAAAATTTAATTTTTCTTTGAGTATAACAAAATTAGTTATTAAAAATAACTAAATTTATTTCAATGTATATTTTAAGAATATAATTATTATATAATAGTATTAATAATATTCTTGTTATTTTTGGCACAGAAGGAACATTCATGAGATGTAAAATAGTTTCAATTTTTAAATTAAATATTAAATTACTGAAAAATAATTATATTTTATTTTTATTTGTAAATGTTAAAATATCATTTCAAAATTAAGTATGTCTGTATCTTTCATTTGCTGGATCACTCATTCATTCAACAAACAGAGTGCCCTATTGGCACTACACTTAGGCTTTGTGGGTGATACAAAGATACATTAAATGTCGTCCTTGCCTGCAAAGAGCTTTCAGTCTCAATAAGAGATGTGACAGGTGACTACAAAACTATAATCTTAAGTAGAAAATGAAGAGAAAAATGTTTTCATTACTTTTTGCTTTGGAGCAAACCCACAACAAAACTTAGTGGCTTAAAACAACTTATTATTTCTAAAGGACTTCAGAAAATCTACTCCTCCATAAATGGAAAGAGAACAGAGGCAGAAGTTGTCAAAATCAATATTTTTAAAACTCTGTAAATTAAGCAAGGGCTGGCAACAATCTTGTGTTTATTCAAGAAAAACATTAAATTTCCTTAAGACTAACAGGCTTTGTGGCAGTTTAACTTTCTCTATTTACATCTCTTTCTTCTCAACATTATGGTAGGCTTAAAAACCAGTAGCTTCAGAATCACAGTGCAAACTAGCAGCCTACCAGCCATTAGGAGAAGCAACAAAGGCTTTGGAATTCCTTGAAAATTCCACTTCCAGAGAATTGTCGTTATTTTACCTGCCTGGTAGTTCCCTGGAAATCCCTACTCACAGTTTTTCATTATTTGACCTGATCAGAGCTTGCTCAGTAAGAGTAATCTTTTCCTCTCAGCATTAATTGATAATAATCAATGGCAATTGTTTAACACTGCAGCTATCTGAGGCAGCAATTATAATTGGGGCAAAAGAGAAGCTGACCAAACAAACAAGCAAAAACACTTAAAAAGAGTTGTTCACAGAGGGTACTAGAAAGCTCCAACACACTGTGGGAATACAGACACTTATTTATGTTCACAGAGCTGTGTGGAAATTAAGGAAAGGTCTGAAAAGGCCTTAAACTCTTAGCTCTGTTCAACTCTGAAGCTCTGAATAAGCAGAACATGAAGGCTAAAGGGACTTGTAAACTGCCTGCCTGAACATTTAAGATGTTCTCTCCAACATGCTTGCATAGTTCTTTAGCAGAGGCTGGCAAGCTTATATGTCAAAGGCATTTGACTGTTCAATCATTAGTTGCCTACTAAACTAACTGATCAGAAACTCTAGTAGTTACACATGACAAATAATATACACTTTAAAGAATTTGTTCGAGAAGGTAACTAAGCAAACAAATAGCAGCAACAATGACAATAAACAGCAACAACAGCCAACCACTGACAGGTAGAGAGTCTGATTCACATAGTTGCCATATTATATTGTTTAAAATGTCTACTTTTCAACAAAAATGACAAGATATGCAAAGAAACAAAATTACAAGATATGCAAAGAAACAATGTACGCAAAGCTCTACATGGAGAAAAAAGTAGTCAATAGAACCTGTTCCTAACAATACCTAGACATTGAACTTACTTGGCAAAGACTATTTAAATCAGCCATTTTAAATCTATTTAAACTAAAGGAAATTAATGAACTAAAGAAAAGTATAGGATGATGTCTCACCACATAAGAATATCAATAAGTAGATAGAAATTATTAAGAAGAAGCAAATCAAATTTTTGGAGTCAAAAAGTACAGAATAGAAATGAAAAATTTATAGGAGGGGCTCAGGAGCAGATGTGTGGTGGGAGAAGAATCAGAGGACCTGAAGATAAGTCAATTGGGATGATTCAGTCTGAAGAACAAGAAAAAAAAAAAAGAAGAAAAATGAACAGAGCCTCAAGACCTATGTGACACCATCAAAAATACCAACATATGCATAATAAGAATTCCAGAAAGAGAGGAGAGAAAGGGGAAGAAAGAATATTTGAAGAAATAGTGAATAAAAATTCCTCAAATTTGATGAAAATCATTAATTTATACACTAAAGAAGCTTAACAAACTCTAAGAAGGGCAAACTCAAAGAGATCAATACATGGTCACATGATAATCAAACTGCCAAAGCCAAAGAGAGAATCTTGATAGCAGTGAAAGAGAAGTGGTTTATATGGTACAAGGGCTTCTCAAAATGATTAAGCTGATTTCTCTTCAGAAACCACAGAGACCAGGAAACAGTGGGATGACACAGTTAAAGTTCTCAGAAAAAAGTCTGTTGATCAAGAATTCTATAACCAACAAGACTATCCTTCAAAAATGAACGTGAAATTTAGGATAAACAAAAACAGAGAATTTGAGGCTAGTACATTTGCCCTATAAGAAATACTACAGGAACTTCAGGCTGAATGAAAGAAAACTAGATACTAACTCACCTCCAAATAATGAAATAAAAAGCACCAGAAAAGTCAATTACATAAATAAATATAACAGCTAGAATAAATATATTTTTGTAATTCATTTATTCTCTTATCAGATTTAAAATATAATTATATAAATATATACCTACATAAAGCAATAATTATAAATCTCCATTGATGTGCATAGAAAATATAAAGATGAAATTTGCATGACAATAATAGCACAAAACAAGGGAGAAGAAACAGACATGTAGGAGAAAAGTTATTGTATACTATATATAATATGAAAAATAATGCTAAATCTTTCTGCTACATTTAGTATCAGTCTTAAATTGGTACTAGGAATTTAGTATTAGAAACTAATTTGCAAGAGTTTAATAAGATAAAATTTATTTGGAAAACATACACTTATTTATTATCAATGTTCTTTGAAATTCTCTGTACCTTGATCAAGGAGTACTATTTATTTCTTTGTTAAATGTCTACTGTTTTGTCAGATTGCAGTGAATTCTGAGATTTTCCTCTCTTGGATCATCTTGTTGAATAAGGGAATACTACAAGGTATACTGTAGCCTATTCACTCATTTTTATATATCCCAAGCTTTAACAACACCATACTAAAAGATTTTTAAAAGGGAGAAAATGAGAATAAAAATTACACAGGTAATATAAGTATGGCTGCCTTCATATTTCCATTAGGTAGATCACTATAAAAATGAATAACAAGTTATAAATTCATTGAGAAAATGTGACCGAGATTCTGTGTTGCATGGAACATTATACCTAGGTTTTCTTTCCTTGCATCTTCAGTTTACTCACAATAGTTCTTTGTTTTCCTCCTACAGTAAGATATTTCCCAAAGGCCTTCCTGAGGAGTACTCTGTAGCAACCACGTTTCGTGTACGAAGAAACACTAAAAAGGAGCGCTGGTTTCTGTGGCAGGTGTTAAACCAGAAGAACATGCCACAGGTATGGTACCATAAGAATTGTGCTTATTAGTTTTCCCTAGTGTGATTAGGCTAGGTGAATCTTTGAACCGTGAGCACAAATTTGGGAGCAGATCTATTATAGTATCTGAATATTCTATCTTTTAGAGGAATCATCAACAAAGAAGTACAAGTATTCTCATAGTGAGGATGGTCTTGCTGAGATCTGTAATGTGAAAAGCTGGTGGGTGAGACAGGTTTAGTTTGTTTTTTGTTTTTTTTATTCTAGATTCATATTTTGTCTAAGGATATTAAACTGCCTTTCCTCACAACTGCTTTATTGGCGAGTTCCATCATCTTCTATCATCTGTGATGTTAAAGAAGTTCGTTGTTTTATTTGACAATCTTTGATGAATTAAGAATTGAGACTTAAATATTTATGTCATCAATAAAAAATTTATGGAACACATGCTACATGCTAGATAGTGACAAGGATAAGAGATCTAGAAAGCAGAATTCCTATTCTCAGGGAGCATTAGGTTTAAGGGATGACATTTAGGAGAACAACATAATGCAGCATAATTATAATACAGTGGGACAAGTACAATAGTAAAGGTAAGCATGGTTTTGGGTGGGGACTATGGGAGAATAGAAAGGACAGCTTACCAAAATGGAGGGACAATGACAGCAGGAATCTAGGAAAGCTTGTGGAAGGGATGGCATTTGGGCTGAAAAGACGAGGTGCAGGCACTACAGGCAGGGGAGATAAACCTCAAAAGTATATATACTTCTATACATATCCATTGAAATATTTTCAATTTTCACTGGTTTGTTAATACAGTAACAATTTTATGATGAGAAAATGAATTGAATTGAAAGACCATGTCCTTTATAAAGTGCATTTTATCTGTACCATGCAAATTATCAAAGGTTAAAGAAGTTGATCTCAGAAATGATCATATTCTTATTCTTCTTAAATTAGTAACCTTGAATTCTTAAATTACTTATACAGAAGAATAATTTATATATAAGAATCTTAAATAATTTGTACATAAGAATCTTATATATAATTTTAAATTATATAATCTTAAATAATTTATATATAAGAATATATCATTTATATATAATTTGAAATTATAAATTTTATAATTTGTATATAATTATATAACATAATTTAAACATAAATATACACTTGCACTTAAGGTATCCTCTTAAGAAGGAACATAATTCCATTTATGAGAATACCCATTTTTATAGCTGGGTATTTGCTGTTCTTTTACATTATTAATAACAAACCTGATGGACATAAGTGTTATCTAAAACATTTTATTAACTGCCTCAGTTATGCTAGCATGGATCTTGAACTTTCCTTTGTGTGCTTTAATAATTTTGAACAATGATTTCTAAAACATTTAAAGATAATTTGCGTTTTTTGCAGGTTTCTATAGTAGTTGATGGTGGAAAGAAGGTAGTGGAATTTATGTTTCGAGCTGCCAAAGGAGATGTGTTGAACTACATATTTAAAAATCGAGAACTCCGTCCTTTGTTTGATCGTCAGTGGCATAAACTTGGCATCAGTATACAATCCCAGGTCATTTCACTTTATATGGATTGTAACCTAATTGCAAGCCGGCAGACTGATGAGAAGGACACTGTGGATTTTCGTGGACGGACAGTTATTGCTGCACGAGCTTCAGATGGCAAACCTGTGGACGTAAGTTGTGATGTTGGTTGTAAAAGAGAACTAGTAACATTTCTAAGTTAAAATGTCTTATTAAAAACATCTTTTTTAATCACTGTGGGATAGAGTCCCTCATCAATTTTATTACTTTAATTAATTTACCATCAGATGTGTCAAGAGTAGCTAGGTATTTCCAACTGTATTTTCACATATATTATTTTCTTTCTATTTTCCTTCAGTTTTTCCAGCCTATGAATTTAAAAGAATTAGGTCATGCCTTAAAAATAAGATTATTAAAAGTAAATCTTAGCAAAAATTGGAAATATGTTACAAAACGTAAGCTTGGTCTAAGCTCATATGTTTTGAATAGAAAGGACTGGAAAAAGATGAACTTTAAGTAGTTTCATATTATTTGATGTTTTCATTCAAGAACAACAGGCTATTTGTTCATCCTCACAATAGTAGTTGCTTTATGTTGCAGACTACTTTTCATAAGCTTATAATGGTTTTTCAGGGTTCTATGGAATGGAAACAGTCACTAAATGTATCAGTAGGCCACTTTAATGAGAAAATTGGCTAGTAAAACACTTTCAGATAAAAAGGTCCTTTAAAAATTACATTTAAGGTTAAAATGATAGAGATTTATTATTTATTTCTCTAAAGAATAAGACCCCATAATCTTAAACAGGTGAGATATATTTAAATGTGATGGCTACATGTCTTCTTGTGGGTGAAGTGATAGGAAAATCTATAAAATAATCTGAATGCAGATCACCAATAGGAAATGTTGATGCTGTTAACACAAAGTATTTAACGGTCCAATTTTATTTCAAAAATACAACTTTGCACAGATACATGTTTGGCCAATTATTTTTTTCTAGAGACAGTGAGTGAGCAATTTAATGAGAAATGCCAATAACTAGGGCTCAGTAGATGACGAGGAAAATAGACCAGAGCAAAAGAAGCCAACCCTGGAGACAAGATGTCACGGCATCATAGCGAGTGAGCTGACTTGAGAGTCATACAGATTGGTTTTAAATCCTGGCTGGGCTACTTAATTGTTGTGGTCCATTAACTTGCCTTGTTAGCTGTTAACTTGTCTGGACCTCAGTATCCTCAATTATAAAATAGAGTTGGTAGAGTTACTGGTTGTGATTGTACAGAATATATGCTGTAGTGCCTATGATGTGGTCAGTTCTCTATAAATTCATTTATCTATTTAGGGCCAGACATAACATTCAACCCTGGTGTAAGAAGGTGGAAAGAAACAAAACAAAACAAAACAAAACAAAACTGTTGCTCCTGCTCACAAAGATCTCAAAGGCTAACGAAAGGATTAAAATCTATGTTAGTAAATTGTGGCTGCTAATAATGATAACATTATTAATCATAACAATACTAGACAGACCTTTCAGTAGGGTCTCCCCAAAGGCACAAAGAGGAAGTGGGCACCAGCAGCTAGAACATCAGAGGTATGACTGCCAGCAGTAGGTGGAGTGTAGGTAGGTCAGAAGTCAGCTTCAGAGAATTCTAGTGACACCCGAGGAGAGTGGTAGAGGTACCTGCTGCAAGTACCTGAGTTTGGGACTGGAATCTGAGCTCTCAAAGGACTAGTGAGAGCAAAGCATGCTCTGGTTCCAGAGGAACTGGAAGAACTAAAGAGAAAACTGAGATTAAGCTCATGGGGAGAGGGCATCAGTGAGAGAGGAGCGAGTTATTGCAAGAGTGGATCCAGTTTTGGAGCTCAGCCTCAGAAGATTGAGTGTTCTATGTCCTGTGTCTCACGAACTTCTCACCCAAGGAAAGAATCAAGCCCAGAACTAAAGCTAAAGAATATCAGGAGTGACCTTATAAAAAGGACAAAATGTGAAACCATAGTATTACAGTGGTTCATAGTTTAATGGGAATTCTTACTTCATTTGAGGATAAAACTGAAGGCATGTCACAATGATGCAGCTTTTTCAGGAGATGGTCACTGTTTGAGTTAAACAAACAAATACATGTATGTTTTAAAAAGATTCTTGGTCCTACTAAACTAAAACTAAAATTAGTGGACTAATTTTTCATCATTTACAAACTCTGTGATTTGTAAGATCTGTTGTGGTATTAAAATGTTTTATTTATTTGGAGTGTTTGTTATTGAAAAAAATATTCAACTGTTGATTGTGTTTTATTTTACATATCCTACCCATGTGCTTTTATTGAGAAAATGATCAAACTGATGTAAAAGATTTTTTTTTAAATAAACAAATCTTCATTTCGATGAATATCAGTACAGACTTAACCCTAAACATTCTCCTTCTAAAGAACTGTGTCAATGAAGGGTTCTAAAGTAACTAAAGAAAAAAAAGCACAAACTAGGCTGATTGTAGTTTCAATGTTATGGGTTCTCAATTCGGTCCTAATTCTTGGAAAATTGATGATCTGTCTTTAGTTGAACAAAATAATTCATACCCAGGGCCTAGCAGAGTGGATGGTATATAATGGGATTTCAATTTTTATTGGCTAGTTTGATAACAATGATGATGATAAATGAGTTTTAGTTAAGAACATTATTAATTGGAGTCCCCATTCTTCATTCTACATAATTGGTATGTTACTGCCAGTATTTCACTGGACTATGTAAGATAGCATATTTAAACTTTATAAATAAAAGTTAACTCAATCACCTTGCAAAAAGTTGTAAAAAAAGGCAATGATTAAATTTTATTTAGTCTCAGTTTTGCATTGCCTGCAAATCTTAGGCTGCTCATGAATCTACAAGCTATCTAAAGTTCTTAATGCTTTCTATGAGCTGAATTGATTTTATCTCAGTATAAAATAAAAGTTAACTTTTGCTTCCTTTTTTTTTTTTTGATGTTGGGGTAAAGATCAACAACTAATCGTGGATGTCTGCTTTTTATTATCATAGTATTAACTATTATAACATTACAGTCGACTCTTTCTATAGGAAGTACTTATTGACCTCAAAGTAATGCATTATATGGCCCTGTTACTTTGGAAGACAAAAAACGCATAAGAGGAAAAGAGAAAGAAAGAGAGAAGTTGGGGAGAAGGAAAGAGAAGGGGAGGCGAGAGAGTGTTCCTGACCCATGTTATACCTCAAATTATCATACAATTATTAAATTATTAAATTTGTAACTGTAGACTAATTTCAAACCTCCAATCAATATCTACTTATATAAAGCATTATTTAATACAACATTCAGTGCTTAAGGAATTCAAACAGCCTATTTATACATTTATCATATTGATATTTTATCAATAGTATTATTTACTTTTTCTTAGTTGGTGGCTTGATCTCGTATTTAAAGGCGTGATTTTTCTTTGCTTAAATTACTTTTAATTTCATGCTACCAAAAAACATGAATCTGCTAAGCAAATAGAAGGAATCAATTATTTTGTATAATGATTGAGTCTTGCCCAGGGTTATACCAATATTATATAAAATCAGTAGGTTTTAGACAGAATTAATGAAATACAGATACAAATAAACACCTTTTTCTTTTCTTATTGGGAAGTGTTCATCTATTTAAGTGCCTCAAACAGGTCTGGAACTACAGATGAAGACTTTTCCATCCACTGACTGACCTTTTCTCCAGAGTTTTTTACTTTGAAATGCCCTCATTTTGTGGGCATACTTTCTTGTAGTGCATAGCAATGCCTTTCCCTAAGTAAATACTTATTAGTATTTTTTATTGGTTGAAACAATTAGCCAAGGTTTGCAATTTTCATTACCTGATTTCCTGTCTCTATAGATCTGTCTGTATCTGACTCTATGTCTATTTCTCAAGTGGTCCATGTAATAATGAATCCTAAAATTAAATGAAAATACTAAAATATTTACCAGTAATTTATTCATATTAGCTTCCTTTTTCTTTTCAGTTAAATTACCATAGTTTTTAACTGCTTAAGCATGATATTCAACAAAACTAATGATATTTCTTATTACCATTTTAATAGATTGAACTTCACCAACTTAAAATCTACTGTAATGCAGATTTCCTAGCTCAAGAAACATGTTGTGAAATATCAGATACTAAGGTAAGTTAATTTTCTTGGCATGTGAAGAATAAAGAACACCAATTATCTTTAAGTTGCATAGAGTCTGTAGAGTCCAAAAGTAGGATAGCACTGCATATCTTCTGTTGAAGCTGGGCGAGCAATTTATTCCAAGTAAGAAAGCCTTCTTGGTCTCTCCCATAGTTTCTTTCACTGTTTTAATCCCAACATTCCCCTTGAACTTCGGGGATAATATGTCCTCACTTTGAACTCAGCATAGCTAGAAGAGAATTTATGCCTTTCTCCCTAAATTATTTTCTGATAGTAGAATCATCATTTTCTAGTGACAGGAGTTTTAAATCTATGATCCTATTTTATTCTCAATCATTTCCTTTTTGTAGCCTGTCACTCATCCTGGCTCGTTTTCCTTTGTGATAGATACTTCATCCTCCTCTTCTTTTTCCCTGTTACTTAGTTATGCTTTGAGTCCAAAGTCCACCTTTATCTCATGCCTGTACTATTGCAATATCCTGTCAACTGCCTTCCCCATCTCTAGGCCCTTTTCTTTGCAGCATAACCAGAATAATTCTCTAGTTTGTATATTCCTTCATCCTCTTTCAGAAAACACTCATTCAAAAACATTGATCTTCTAGACACTGTGCTAAAGAACAGGGCTAACAAACATGAATAAGGCACATTCCCTGCCCTCTATTTTTAAGGCCTTAGGTGACTCCCATTTGGCAACAAAATATAAATAGTTCCTTAGCCTCTTATTCTAAATATTCTCAACCTAACTGTACACCTATTACTTTCTTATACCAATCTTTCATTCCAGGAAAAATACTCAAATTCAATGCTTTCTATATCTCTCATTGTAATGGTCATCTGTGCTTATATTATTGCATGTAATTAATTATATTTGCTTTTTATTTAAGTACAATTTAGACTTAGTGAGAGAAGTTTTACTTTTATACTTTTCTTTTTTATTCCTGGTGATTTGTTCTGAGAAGCTGGACAATTGTTTGATTTGTTGACTTATTAAACTACTAAAAGAGATAGATGGGACAGAAAGATGTTTGAAAGGAACTAATTCTAAAAACCTTACAGAAAGAACATATGAAAAGTAAAAGATGAAAATGCTTTTTTTATGTTAGACTTCCTAAAATTTCTATATTTGCCATAGAAAATTGTATGAAGATTTTATAAATAATTTATAATTTAAAAATATTTTTAACTTCTGTGGCTCAATTTGGGTAGTGGAATAAGAATGTGACCAAGTGAATCAAAGCATCATTAAGTCTTTCAAATATTATATGTTTTTCTTATGTAACTTGGCTTTATAAAGCATATCTCCAAACTAGTTTATGGCTTTTATTCCAAGTAAAATGAAAGCCAGCCAAATATCTTTCTATAAATATCTAAAAAGATAATTTAGAATGCCAATATAAGGACTGGCAATACCTAGACTTCCTGGAGCTACACATTTATATCTTGAAGATATTTAATTTTCTAAAAGTTTTTTAAATTATGCTTTTTTTCATGTAAGAGCTTTTAGAATAATAATTATCTCTGATTGAAAAGTAACATAATGGCATTTTCATATACCTAAATATTATATTTCTGCCCACTAATCACTACCTGTGTCCTTATATAATAGACATTTTCAACCTGAATTATGAGAAAACTGTTTAAGAAATATAGGTGACGGATTGGATGAAGTGTCTTGGTAATTTGAAGCAATGACATGACCTCACACATTATGAACAAAACAATTTTAAATCATGTTTTTCAAAAGTTATTTGTTAAAGAGTAGAAATTAAGGTAGAACTCATCCCCATCTATGAAAAAAAATAATAAAGGACTGTATACTTTTCTGCTGATAATTATTTAAAGGTGACATTACCATCCATTTAATGATTAACAGAAAATAGAAACTTGGTATATTTTACATATGGGGATGTATAGTTTGGAAGATTAATAATTATATAAAAGTTGTTTAAAAGCATCTGTTGTTCCTCTGATGCCAAATGTATTTTTTTTCCAAAATATTTTGAATGCAGGAAATTTTAATGTACTTGTTTAAATATCTAATTTTGTTCTGGAATTTCAAATCACACATGTTTTGGTGTTAATATTTTATGGAACATTTCAAAGTTAGAATTTATTTAAGACTATCTGTAAACATGCTTCTTTACATATTAAATTAGATTTTCAGTTTCTGAATCAGTGAAGTTTCATGATACAGACATACAGTAAATGAGAAACAAATATGAAGAAAAGGAGGAAACCAGCAACATTTGTTGAAATAAAAGAGAAATGTGACTAAAATTTTAAGGGCTAATTATCTGAATATGTGTCAAATCAAAACCAGAAGTTTTACAAGGAGAAAAATACTTCCTTGTATGTTTTATGCTGCCCTTAGGCGCATTTTGGGGAGTGTGAACAGTTTTATAGTGAAGCCTGAGACATAGTTTTACAGTTGTTTACATCTTCAATTTAGTATAGTGACTCAGTTATCCAGAGAAAAATTCTGAATTCTAAGTGCATCTTGGTTATCTGACTGAGAACCACGGGACAAGAATTGGCTGGGAAGTCATATCAAATCATATAAGGTGAATGAATTGTTTTGGTGAAAATCTTGTTTCATTTGAATATACAGTAGTTTTTAGACTTTTGAACTTGGGAACTTATTAGGATAATGAAATAACTAATCATTAAAACTGGAGAGAGTACATGTAAAAGAATTAGTGGTGAAGACAGGAAACTCATCACAGTATTTTGGGGATGTTAGTTTCTTTACAGTTTTTATTGTTGTTATCAAAGCATGACACTGCTGCCCATTTTTTAAAATAAATTTTTTGTTACATAAGTTATGTATGATTATTGTAGAAAACTTGGAAAATAGAGCAAAATTCAAAAAAGAAAATAAATAGCAACCATGAACTCAACCACAGTAGATAACTACTGACAATATTTTTGTTTTGTATCCTGAAAATACTTTTCCACGCACATATAATTTGTAGTATATAAAGCAACATATGAACTCTTTCCCCTAATGCTTTGTCTTCTTGAAATTGCAAATTTAGAGCTATAAATCATGGTAAGAAGCTTGGTACATGATATTGAGAAGAAAGAATGCATTTATGCTTTTCAGATTCTGCATCTGGATTAACTTTTTGAAAGAGAAAAAGTTCATTGCTTTGTAACCAAATTTCACTTCATATTGTTCAGTACTTTCTGAATCCACTGGCTAAGTATTAAATCTACCACTTGTCTGTTGCAGTGGAGACCTTTCTAATATCTTTAAAGGACAGTGGGCTAGAACAAAGTGTACTTTGATTTAATAACCATTGTCTTAGAGTATAAGAATAATATATTTTCTACTTTAGATGTCTTTACAATCATCTCATTGCAGGTTCAAATTACATGCTTTACTTTTTGTTCTCAAAAGGTATATACACATATTGTTTATATAAATTATTTTATTGTAACTATGCAAGTATTATAAATGTATAGCATTACTGTACTTATCATAAAGTCACCTAATATAGCTTCAGAATTCCTCACTAAGACGATTATTTTTAGTATTTTTTTTTGTGTTGGCCAGTATACTAAAACACATGGGGGGTCAGTGAAAGAGCAAAAGTGTGATAAACTTTTACACACTGGTGTCAAATTTTGGGTAATAAGAAGGCAGTTTTTGCAGTCAACTCCAGTCATCCCTAGTTTGGTGGGAGCCAGTATTTGGAATGTCTGAAATGTTTGGAATTGACCTCATTCCCTAAAGCCTGTTTTTGGATTTTAGTGCCCAGTGCAGGATGGCTTTGGCAGTATTGCATCATCATCAGTAACCACTCGTGCCGGCAAAATGTCTGCATATCTGCCAGCCAAGCAGGAACTTACAGACCAGTGCCAGTGCATTCCAAACAAGGTATGCTAGTTCTAATCTGTGCCCACCGAAAAGCCATTTTAGACAGTGAGCTGGGCTCCTTGCATGTGGCCACTAGTAAACAGAATGTATCTTGTCCTTCAGTGTCAGTTGAATCAAATACCTGTCACTGGAGTGGGTTAGGAAAAGGAGATTGAAGATAAGATTCCCTGGATTTTTACCTGGATAGGTGTGAGTCTGTCTGAACTTCCTTCCAGGGTATGTGTTAGAATGAACAGAAAGGTGAAGGAAGGAACCACCTGTACAATAGGCAAGTATCAAGTACTTAGCAGGTGCCAGGAATAGGCTGCAGTTCTGAAAATTCACAGTGCCAGCTCTTCAAAAAACATACACAAAAATACTCTACATAGTATTTTGTGTGTGGGCGTGTGGACTGTATTTTCCCAGTATCCCCACATTTTCAACTAGTTCTCTCTCTCTCTCCATGGTAAGTTGGGGGATAGCAGTAAGCAGAGGGGCTGTGTTATTACTCAAAGAATTAGTTTTACCCACACCATTAGGAGCCCCTGGTCAATGAGGCTGGGCCCGTGAACTGACATGAACTTGTTTTGTGGATGTTACTAGTAGCCATAAAACCTGTGCTAAAAGTAGGCTAAGTGGCCTCCTGTTGTCATTCTCCTGTGCCCATATCCAAAGAAAGAACTTGCCCCAGTTCTTAGAGCAGAGTGTCCCCTAGCATGGTGACCTAATGCATGTCCTTAGACTACCTGTCCTCTGTCACTTCACTTTTGGCTGGATCTATGGGGATGGGAATGGGGTAAAAGCTTAAGGAAATCTTCCATTTCCTCTTGTTACCAACATTGCATAATAAGCTCCATGAGAAAAGCAAGTATAAGGTTCAGGGGGACCACAGAGGAGTAGCATGTGTTGCAGCCCATAGAAGGTCTCCCAAAGGAGATGATGCTAAATGGTGTTTGGAAGAGTAAGAAATAGTAAATATTATGAAAAGGGGAAGGGCATTCCAGAGGACCAACCAGCGTCAGCTCAGAGGAGAGCAGAGCTTTAGCTTACTACTGCTAGCTTCATATTTGTAAACTATTTGCCTTTAGATCAATGTGACAGAATGTTTGCTAATGCAGGAATTCATTATTGTTCAGGGAGAAGCAGGATTACCAGGAGCTCCAGGCTCACCTGGGCAGAAAGGGGATAAAGGAGAGCAGGTAAGACACAACCAAATACTATTGGGATGGAAGGGGTTTTGTTCAAAAGTAACTTTAAAAATGCATCCGTCTCATTTGTGTATATTCCATACAAATATACATTTCTGTAAAAGGCTATCAAAGACTATTTTAAAATGCTGATTTCTGAAATAAGAAAGATTATATCAACATTTAAGTGTGCTTTTGAGTTCATATGGAAAGATTGGCATGAAATTTGGAAATATCTGGAACTGCAAGTTTTTGTAGCTCTAAGCCCTAAGCCAAACTGTGAAGCAGGGAAGTTTATTTTCTAGTTGTACTCTCACCTTCTTTAGCATTCTCTTCTCCAAATTGCTGATGAAATCTTATTTCACTAGTCTGTTGACATTTCTCTATGAAAGACTTTTCCTTAGCCTCTTCTCTACCTTTGATTAAAACAGCTAACCTTTTTTGTTGAATATTTTCTGTGTATGAGGCATGTTGCTGGGGGTTGTAGGGGGATATAAAGAAGAGTAGGATAGATTCCCTGTGCTGAAGGATTTAATGTCTAGAAGGAGATAGAGATAAACTACATGGCCATATGTGTTAGGTGCTATATTAGATTTGAAAGTGTCCTGAGGAAACAATCTGGGAAGATTGAGAAGAATTTAATAGAGGAGATGGGGAATGAGCTGGACCTCAAAGTGTATAATTCTAAGCAATATCCCATGCTTTGAGATTCGTCTTGCCTTTCTCCACACCCCGATCAAAACTTAACTATAATGTTACCTACTCTTTTGAGTCACATCTATTGTTAGCTAATCAAATAAATTAATTTGTATGAAGGTTAGAAGTTGATTCTGTTTTTGTTCTCTGAGGAGAAATTGATTTTAATTCTTTTTGTGCCTTAACTTGGGAGTCCATGATTTAAATTAGGTACATAATCTAGTTGGACTTCTTTTATAAAAGGTAGGAGGCTGAAGACTGAGAGGCGACTGATTCCTCAAAGATTCAACAAAGCTAAGATCCTTTGACTCCAAAAGGAATGTCTGCCCATTATATCTTGCACGGGAACTTTGGGCACCATAGCATATGTTTGAGAAATGATTTTTGAGGTGGGACAGGGCATTTATTATTGACCTTTAAGCCACATTTGTTGGGATACCTTTCAATATCATAAGATAATTTGCATTTCTCTGATTATTAGTGATGTTGAGCATTTTTTCATATGTTTATTGGCCATTTGTCTTTATTCTTTTGAGAAGCTTCTGTTCATGTCTTTTGTCCATTTTTTAATAGGGTTGTTTGTTTTTTTTCTTGCTGATTTCCTTGAGTTCTTTGTAAAATCTGATTATTAGCCCTTTATCAGATGTGTAGTTTGAGAATATTTTCTCCCATTCTGTAGGTTGTCTATTTGCTCTTTTGATTGTTTCCTTAGTTGTGAGAAACTTTTTAGTTTAATCAAATCCCATCATTAATTTTATTAATGATTGCCATTGGGACCTTTAATAAAATATTTGCCTAGGCCAATACCCAGAAGAGTTTTTCTTACATTTTCTTCTAGAATTCGTATGGTTTCATGCCTTAGATCTACATCTTTTATCCATCTTGAATTACATTTTGTGAGTGGTTAGAGGTAGGGGTCCTGTTTAATTCTTCTGCATGTGACTATCTAATTTTCCCAGCACAATTCATTGAATAGGGCTTCTTTTCCCTAGTTTACATTGCTGTTGTCTGCTTTGTAAAAGATCAGTTGGTTGTACGTAGATAGTTTTATATCTGATTCTCTGTTCTCTGTTCTGTTCCATTGATCTACGTCTCCATTTTTGTGCCAATAGTTTTATATCTGATTCTCTGTTCTCTGTTCTGTTCCATTGATTTACGTCTCCATTTTTGTGCCAATACCATGGTGTTTTGGTTACTATAGCCTTGTAGTATAGTTTGAAGTCTGGTAATGTGATGCCTCTAGATTTGCTCCTTTTGCTCAAGATTTGGCTATTCAGGCTCTTTTCTGGTTCCATACAAAGCATAGAATTGTTTTTCTAGATCTGCGAAATATGATGTTGGAATTTTGATGAGAATTGCATTGAATCTGTAAATCACTTTGGGTAATATGGACATTTTAACAATGTTGATTTTACTGCTCCATGGGCATGATATGTTTTTCCATTTGTTTGTATCATCTGTGATTTCTTTCCTCAGAGTTTCCTAGTTCTACCTGTAAAGATCTTTCACCTCCTTAGTTAAGTATATTCCTAGGTATTTTATTTTCTTTGTAGCTATTGTGAATGATATTGAGTCTTTAATTTGACTCTTGACTTGATTGTTATTAGTATATAGAAATGTTACTGATGAATGCATGCTGATTTTGTGTACTGTGACTTTGCTGAATTTATTTATCAATTCAGTGAGACTCTTGGTGGCATTTTGGGGACTTTCTAGATATAAGATCATATCATTAGTGAAAAGAAATAGTTTGACCTCCTCTTTCCCAATTTGGATACCCTTACTATTCTTGTCTTGCCTGGTTGCCCTATATAGGACTTCTAGTACTATGTTGAATAGGAGTAGTGACAGTAGGCATCCTTGTCTTGTTCCAGTTCTTAGGAGGAATGGTTTCCTTTTGATCTGTAAGCCCAAGGAAGAAAATTTAGGGGAGATACAAAAAGTACCATTTTGGAGCCTGAACCCCTTAGGGTTGAATCCAATCCACCTTTTATTGTTTTGAAAATAATCCTTAATAATACTTTGGCAATGGTAGATTGTGAAGAAAGAATGCAATATAACGCATATAAAGCACTTAGAAAATATCATTATACTCAACAAATGTTTCCTCTGCTTTACTATCTACTATGTAATTGTCCACATATTGAAGGAAAGGTGGAGATAATCCTTTTAGATTGAGTTTAATCTCATATATGGCTTGATCAAAACCAAAGAAATCTTCATTTGTGAAATTATCCCTTAGAATTTTCAATTGGTTAGATGTTTAGGTATATACAAATCTTGTGCTATTATATGCTTCTTGTGGTCAATATTAATAACTGATTGATAGTTAAATTTTTTAGAATATTATTAGAATATTTCATTCAACTGTGTCTTTTATTCCCAAGATTATCTGAACTTTTCTTGACAGGGTATACTACTCTTTAATGATATTTTTTGCATTTTTTTCCTTAGATAACATTGATTAGAAGCCATTCAGATACAATTATAGTTTTCTTTTTCTCATTAGCTATAAGATATATAATACTAGCCTTTTAGTGCATTTTACTTTTGGCCAATGGAATAAAATGAGAAAAGTTTTGAGAATACAGCTTCCAAATCTCTTTTCAAATTATGTATAACTCACTAAAATATAGTATTTCTAAAGGTGTAAGATTTTTATTATTATTATTTTTCCTTTTATTTCATCATATTATGGAGGTACAAATATTGTTAGGGTTACAAATATTGCCCCTGCCCCCCTCCCTCCCCCCATGTGTCCAATCCCCCGGTGGTGTGCACCACACACGTTATGAAAGCATAACACCCCTTACCTCCTCCCCCCTTCCACCTGCCCACCACCCGATAAAAAGTTTTGTTTTGTTTTTTTGACATTTTGGTTACATTGTATATCTTTGGCTCTCCCTAAGAAGGTTTAGAGTTATCCCCTTCCCCACCGAAGTGCTCACCACATCCCTAAGATTGGGTCCCTGCCCCTCCCCCAAATCCCTGGTGAGCATTGCCACCATTTGAAAAACATAGTTTTAATCAGTCAATACCAATTTGATGGAAAGTAGATGTGGGGCCCATTTTCCATGTCTTGTGTCGCCTCGCTTTGGATAATGGGCTTAAGCTTAATCCAGGATAGCATAAACGGTGCTAGCTCACAGTCATTTCTTAGGATTGAGTAATATTCCATTGTGAACACATACCCCATTTTAATTATCCACTCATGAATTGACAGGCACTTGGGTTGTTTCCATGACCTTGCAATAGTGAATTGTGCTGCTATAAACACTCGGGTGCAGATGTCTTTATAATAGAATGTCTTATGCTCTTTTGGGTAGATGCCCAAAAATGCTATTGCAGGGTCAAATGGTATTTCTATTTCTAGCTGTTTGAGGTATCTCCAAATTCTTTTCCACAAAGGTTGCACTAATTGCAGTCCCACCAGTAGTGTAGGAGTGTTCCTGTCTCTCCGCATCCATGCCAGCATTTGTTGTTTTGGGGTTGCTTGATATAGGCCATTCTTACTGGGGTTAGGTGGTATCTCATTGTGGTTTTGATTTGCATTTCTCTAATAATTAGAGAAGTTGAGCATTTTTTTATATGTTTGCATGCCATTATTCTGTCTTCTTTGGAGAAGTTTCTTTTCATCTCTGTCGCCCATTTCTTGATGGGATTGTTTGATTTTTTCTTGTTAATTCTTTTAAGTTCTAGATAGATTCTTATTATTAGACCTTTATCAGAGGTGTATAGAGCAAATATTTTCTCCCACTCTGTGGGTCGTCTATTTGCTCTACTGATGGTTTCCTTGGCTGTGCAGAAACTTTTTAATTTGATCAGATCCCATTTGTTTATTTTTGATTATTATTTTTAATTGACATATACTAAATATAAATATTTATGGGGTACAGTGTGATATTTTGATTTATTTATACAATGTGTAATGACCAAATCAGAGTGATTAGCACATTCACCACCTCAAACATTCATTATTTCTTTGTGTTGGGAATACTCAGAATCTTCTCTTTTAGCTATTTGAAAATAGACCATATTTAACCATAGCTAACCATAGTCACCTTACAGAGATATGGAACACCAGAACTTATTCCTTCTTTCTAGCTATAATTTTGTATTCATTAACTAATCTATCCCTATCTCCACCTCCCTCTGACCACAATTATACTCTCTACTTCTATAAGATTAACTCTTTTAGATTCCACATATGAGGAAAAACATGCAGTATGTATCCTTTTGTGGCTGGATTGTTTCACTTAACACAATGTCCCCCAGGCTCATCCATATTGCCACAAATGACATTTCATTCCTTTTTA